GCTAGGATTTCGGAAGAACCACGGCAGTTGAAATTATCTGATGAAAATGAAAGCTTGCCTCTCTCCTTGTATGTAAGACTTCAGACAAATTTTCACTTGGTGAAAGAAATTATTTTAATTTTTCATTCCGAGACATCTTTCTTCAAGCCCACATTCCTACTTTTTGGTGGCATTCAGGTACAGCTGCTTCATTAGTGCCTAACTCAATTTAAAAAAAAAATTGTACAGTATATACAATACCTGCCATAAGGTCTTTCAAGAAAAACTGTTGCATCTGCAAAACTTTCATGAAACTTTGCCACTCCACAGAAAATGCCTTTTGTGTTTGTTGGTCTACAAGATTTTATGGATACTGTATTTGCCAGTCTGCAGGCCCAAAAAGGTTGGGAAGCACTTCTTTAGAGGTCAGGTGTAGGAAATGGGTTGACTTGGCAAACAGAGATTGGCATCAACCTCTGATAAACTCTCATGGCTGCTGAATCCCTCAATTGAATCCACTGCCCTTCTGGGTTTACCCTTTTCAAACTTGTTTTTATTGGTTTTGGTGGGTCAGGGGGGGGGGGGGTATTTTCGAGTTCCAAAAAGAATAAAATTGAAACTATTACAGAATAAAGTCTTCAAAACTTTTGAAAACTTTAAAATTTTAGAATTATTTATTTTTTTCAAGAAAGCTGAAGAAATTTAAGCCCAAAATTTTGTGATTTCACAAGCTTTGAAAGGTGGACAAATTCCGTTTGCCATGCCGAAAGGAAAATCTGACTCCCAAACTTGTACATCCACTTCCCAATATGGATACACAACTTCTCTCCCACCAATTACAGGTGTGAGAGAGATGTGGTGTACCCTTGTTCAGGTCACATGACAAAACTTATGTCTTACAGTGAAAAAAAACCCCCGACACATGGCCCTCACAACAAGACGCTGTTTTCCTTGTATTAACCCAAGCGTTTCCCTCCAGTACTGTACGCGTGAAGTTAAAGAAAAGAAAAAAAAACTGTTGAAAACAGAAGGAAAAAATAAGATGGAAAAGACTGCAAAAGCATTGGATCGACAAACTTTTCACGTCTATATGAAGCCGAACGTGGCGACTGCAATGTGAGCCGGATGAGTGCCAAATCTTTGACCTCGTACACGGATTATCAATTCAGATCATCAGAGGACTGCATGTGGTGGAAAATAATATCCGTTCGTCCGGTTTTTCGGTGTGTCCATCTCACACGACAACTGATGATGCTGCCTGCCCTACTGTTGTGTGGAAAGTACAGTAAACTGAAAAGGTACAGCAGTCGGATCCCGACTGGATCGGCCGACGAATAATGGACCCTCGCCCGTCCGAGATTCATTCCAAGGGCCGTGGCCCATCAATTTCTGCAATACCGTAACGCAATGCATCACCGTTCTGGAAGCGGAAAGGGTGGGATTGCACGCAGCAGTTGGTCGTCGGCCGACAGGAAAACATGCAAGTCGGCAGCATTTCGGCTCGTTCCAGAAAACGAAGCGGGGCATTGCTCAGTGTTCCGCGGCTCGGGTAAAAATACCGGAATCTCTGCGGGTGCATTGCAATTCTCCCTCCCGTCGACCCGAGAAGGATGAAATCGCGTCTTCATTACTGCTCAGAACTGGGATACTGCACTTTTACAGCAGTCGGCACTGCAGGACGCGGAGAAAACCGTCGTCTCCGCGAATCCCCGTCGTTCTCGGCCGGCTAATTTGTGCAGCTTCCGCATCCGCACCAACGCAGACCAATTAATTAATGAGCAGATGCAGATGCAGTTCTGCCCCTCATAGACTTGGAGGGTATGAGATGATGTGAGACTGAGTGAGAGAGAAAGAGAGACGGTTCCTGATCGCCCGGCCCTACGACAACGATCGCACCATCCATCATCAGGTCCTCCATGCCTCATTGATTCATATCCTGTCCCTCAGTCAGACACGCGGGAGGGAGGGAGGAAGAGAGGAGAACGAGTTTGAGAATGAATCCTCCTCCCACCTGTTGTACTGGAGTTCCAAGCCGATCTTCTAGCTGAGGGATGCCACTGCCTCCCCGGCGCCAATGCAACGCCGATTCATTGGCTTGCTTTCGAATTCGACTGATCCATTCATCCTCTGGGAAAGCCGGACGGACGTTCCGTGAACAATACCGTACCGTAGTGGCTTATTATGATGTACCGCCACGCTTTTGCTCTAATATTTCCCAAAAGGGATGCACCAAGTCCAAGCTAGGCGCTGTTGGGGTATGTGATATGCACGCTCATCCATACATGGGCCAAATTAGCTGAAGCAGTTTCGTCTGTGTTTAAAAAAAAAAAGTGTGCCCCGGATTAGTTGAATTCAATTTGAAGCATGGAATCAAAACATTGAAGCACACCACTGAAAACGAAAACAAGAATGTACCGCTCGACTGAATGGCTCAGCTGGCAGATTTCCTCTTGGCGATAATTTCGAAGCAGATCAAGTTTGCTTGCTGAGCGTCCGGACGGAGGAAAGAAAAAATAACTTTCAAGATATCAAACTAATTTTTTTCGTTTCATCTGCAGCTTAATTGTTATTACTCAATTCCCGGGTCTTCGTGTATTGTACAGTAAAGTACTTTGCATAAGGCGCGCTTCTCTCGTTTTTGGCCATAACTGCTTGTCCGTGATCGGAGGGAGGTACAATTGTCTGAGTAGCGACATCGCGTAAATTGACGCTGAAATGTGAAAGCATTGAGTATCATCCTATTCACAGGTGTCGCTCTCAAGCCGCAAATAATTTTTGCCGCAGCGCCGAATTCATTCACCGTTTTATCGCTCCCCTACCTACGACGGATGTGAAACGCCTTACATAAATGTAGACCTCACATATATTTATGGTGCTTACTGGGCACATGAAAAGCACTTTTGAAATGCTTGTAGGAAAAGTAGGCGTCCAATTCATCAGGTTAAGTTTTACCGATGCTCACGCGTCATGTCGTTTCGAAAATTTCATGCGGCTTCTAGGTTTGACCCCGCCTTTGCCCACGGCAACGCACGGTAGGACGCGCGTTTCATGCAATTCCGCATCCACTTCAGGTGCTGTTTATCCTCACCGTGGTCCGGCCCGACCGCACCAGCAAGCAAATCGCGTCTCGCGGAGATTTGTGGTTCTCACCGTTCCCTGACTTCCGTGGATCAAAACCCCGAGAAACTGACCAACTACGTTATCTGTTTAGGATACAAACGCGCGTATCAGGTTTCTTCAGCAAGACCTGAAAATTGTTTGGACTGACGACACTCACGCAGTGCTCAGCCAAATCAGTTCATTGAACCCGGTAAATGACATTACTTCCAGAACTCTTAATTTTTCTCACATGCAGAACTGTTTTGTATTTTTTGTTGGTGAGAGCTAATAACGATTAGCAAAACCCCGGCACTCAAAGTGTTCTTTCTTTTCTTCCTCGAGCGCCCTTCCGGCGATACCGATCACTCCTGGCGCTCGCAAATTACCACGCGGGTGGGGATTCCCAATGCGCATCTTACAGGTTCAGCAGCGTTCCTGACGGATTTACAAACCGGGAAAACTTCGTTGGCAGGAGAAATAGAGGGAGAGAGGAAAGAAAAGTACCTGGAGAAATAAAATGAAATAAAGGCCGAACAAGATGCGCGACATAATCGCGCTAAGCCCCCGCGGAAGTTTCCAGTGTAGCGCAACTTGAGCCGGGTGAATCCGGGCCGGGCCGCAATCGAGAAGCCTGTTGGCAACACCGGCCACACAATACCCCGTTGCACGGACACTCGCTCTTCCCCGAGCACTAGTTTTATTCTTTTCCTCCTTACTTCTCTGTTCGTCGTCATTCCATCGCTCCGGGCTAGCAGACAGGTGAAACGGGAGTGTCGCTGAATGTCGGTGGGGAGGGAGTGAGGTCACGGAGCAAATGCCACTCGCCCTCATGAACGCGAACCGAGTGCGCATGCCTGCATACGGCCACTGTCATCGGATTCCATGCCGTGCAATCCTTTCAATTCGTGTCCACTTCGCAGATTCCACCGTACATACACATTTTAAATTCAAAATGCAAATAAATTGTCTGAGAATGAATAAAATTTTATTTTGATCCCAAGAACAATCAATTGCGTTCCTGGAAAAGTCTAGTGGGTGTAGACACAAATGTGCAGAGTGGAGAATCAGAAAAAAATTGGAACTGTGCGCGAAATGCTCCGTAGCCGGAGCCTGTATTTCGTGCAGTAGAACGAAGAGTGAATTTGATCTCAGGGAATGATTCGAATGATGCTCTCGTCCTTTTGACGCGTTGGCTTTCGGCTTGACTGCTCACTGTTTCGGCGGCTTGGCGGGCGGCGGGCCGCCGTGCAGTGAAACGGAAATTCGCCGTCTGTGAAAGTTGCTCCACGGTTGGAGCTGTAGTCGAGGCTTGCGCGCAGAGCTTGTCGCACTGCTGCGCCTGAAGAGTGCCCGGAGGAGCGGCGGTTAGATCGTGGGATGGGAAACATTTGGTTGCGTATGCGATGCGAAAATCGTTCTAGTCCCTCTCGCCTTCCCCCTCTTCTGTTGCGACATTATCTGCAGGGCAATAAATTTTATCTGGGGTTGCGCTGGCGCACTGGTAACAGCAACGGAATCCGGTCTCGAAAACCCCTGGATTAGGGGAGGAACAGGCCTGGGAACCTCACATGCGTTCTCGCACCCGGTTTGCGGCCTTGATCGCCACTCGCGGGTTGTTACGTGTTTTTCAGACGTTGCGGTTTCAATTATCGCGAGAGATGTCTCGCGAATACGATCTCGATGAATTTTTTCGACGTGCAGCGATTGAACTTCGGCAGTGATTTCGGAAATTGTTGGTGCGTCCTTGAAAGTGACCAGGAGGGGACGTTGGATGGCCTACGGAATATGCTGAGTAACACATCGTGATAGTGGAATAAGACTTGCCCTGGCGCTGCTGCGAATGTGTCTCGTGCCACTACCGTGTTAAAAAAAAAAAAAAAAGAATCGCTGGTTGAAGTCGTTTCAGTACAGTATTTTTAAACTTTGTTCTTCTCCGCAGCTGTTTTATACCCTCCTGTTTCGTGTGATTTTCATATTGCGGTGAATCTCGCTGTGTGTACTTGTCGTCGTTGCTGCTTTCTGTCGGCGAAGAGTACGAGTTAAAAAATGTTGGATTAACGACGATGGCACGCCGGAAGGGTTGTGAAGAGCGTAGTGGGCATTGGACTGTTGTGAACACAACTGTGGACCGCGTCTTCGAGTCGGCCCCCGTCTCCTGGTTCGGCCACTGAAATTCACGGAAGGAAAGTTGAATTGCCAACCGGCTCTCGTCGGAAAATCATGTCGTACCTGACAATTTTCTATCCCGTGTCTGCTGGTCAGAATGGACCTCTGCTCGGCGCCGATGAGGAGGAAATCGTTCTTCTTCATTTCATCGTTCTAGAACCAGACACCTGTCAGGTGAGTTTTCTTTTGATTGGCCATTCCGCGAAATCCGGAAACCTCGAGATTTACCAAAACGACGGGCTTCCCAACGAAAAGAACTTCCACCCTCTTCGCCACAATGAGAGTCACTGTCATGTGTGTGTGTGTATTAACGATCGCAGCCACTCCAACCCACTGGCACTGACGTAGCCTTGAAACACCTCGCTTGAATTGTATCGCTAAATTCTTGAGATCTAGAAAAAACCTCTGATATGGAATTCCAATTCACAATCTCCAGCCTTGCTACATTGAATTATGTCTCATATCCACGCAAGACAACTACAGTATAATCTGTATTACGAACGACCTGTCTTGGCACTCTTGGGAGAAGCGGACGTTTCGGGGTTTTTGAATTTCTAAAATGTAAACCTAGCGGGGTATAATTACGATTTTCTGATTCGCTCATTCCTCGTTGCCCGGGGGCTTTTGTTGCGTAGGGATTGCATTTCAAAATTGCAACTGTGTATTTAAAATGGCACCATATTCACTACATGTTTTTCACTCGCAATTTAATTTTTAATGAAAAAAATTGCTCGTTACATGGTAATTTTTCGCAAGAAAGCCCGTCAACTTGGTTGTTCGGAAACGAAAATTTTCTCAATCGAGTAAATTTAATGTTTGTCGTCCATGGAGTTTTGAAGGATTATGCGTCAAGTTCTCAATTTTCTTGATAAACGAGTTTTTTTCTGGCTCGGACTTTTTTGAAGAACGATGGACCAACTTGAGGCTTCCGGGTCGCTTCAGCGTTTGAAATTTGAAAACGCGTCAATTTTATTACTCAAGTCTTCTTTGGTTGATTTTAGGGTTAGGCTCCCAAAATGCTTTCCAGCGGTGAATGTAAGGGCTTTTTTTTTACGCCGTAGAGATTGCTACAGTTACGAGTGGCCATGAGTTAAGTCTATCAAATGGAAGAACTTCATTTGCCGCAGATGAAATTTCAGGCCTGTTAGGGAAATTTTAAAGAAGAATGTCAGTTTCCCGTCGAGTGAAAAGAAAGAAAGTTTGTGTGGTGCGTAATGGAGCTTCCTTGTGGAAATTTCCGCAATCATCGTAGAAGAAACTCCGGGAAATTCCCCGAAATTCTGTACGTTTCCCATTCATCAGTTGACTCATGCGTGAAAATCAATTGCTGATCTGGAAAGCTCAAATTTCAATGTCTGATATTTTGCTCCCACCGAAATCTTTCCCTTCGACTTGGTTTAGAAAAAGAATGGGGTGAAAATCGTTTGAAACAATCTCCCACGTGTGTATAACCTTGGCGTGCAATTTGAGGCACTTGAGCAAGCAACGCTCATGATGAATTGCATAGGTTCATTTCTCTACCCTCTGTATTCCCAAGTATTCGTTATTGTTTTAGGGAGAAGGAGCAAACTTTTTCCAGTCTCAAGATACTTGGGTTTTCCACTGGCGTTTTTTAAAAATACCCTTTGTTCAGAAAGTATTTCATTTAAAATGTTGAGGTGTGTTCGGAACTCGATTTTTTAAACTTGGGTTTTTCATTCAACGAAAGCCGTATTCATTTGGGTGCAGGAGAAAAACCCGCGGCCCGAAAATCTCGCAAGATCCAAAAATCCCGGAGGTACGAAAATCTCGAAAAGGGAAATTTCTTTTCAGAAAAACCTCGTTTGAAAACTACAGAAGGCCATGGTATTTAAACAATTCAAAATTATCTAAGTCTAAATGCAGTTATATAGTGATATTTAATCTTCAATCTTGATATTCAACATACAGTACATGATGCAGGAAATATAATAACATCTTTAAAAGGTCCACAAATTTTCAAATCTACGAGATTTCCACCCAAATTGATGCAAGTTCATTACTTCAGAAGGGATGGTTGAGCTGTGAAAATCATAGGAAAAGTACACAGTTTACATACAAAACAATGCAGACTCCAAATGAAGGCTACATCTTATCTTTCCCAGGCTTCCTCGTCTTTCTCTTGAGAAAGATGAGGAAGTGAAGGTGAGATTCTACTGAGAAAGGTAATCCCTAAACCTCTCAAACCCTTTGAAGGAATTGAATCGTTGCACTTTCGCAATTTCATAATCCACCAGATTTGTATTCCTTCCGGACAGTTGAAAGGGTAGCCAAGAGACCATATTACAATTTTGTATTACTCATCGGGATTTTTGGACCATGCGACATTTTCCGGCCTACGGGATTTTCGGGCCGCGGGATTTTTTCTCCTACGGGATTTCATCATGGAGCCATTCATTTCACGGGTGTAGTAATAATAATGAGACTTGGGATTGTTCGTCAAGATGGAAACGTTTCCCCACGAATACCGAACAAAGAAAATCGGAGGTGGCCACGAGTTGGTGTAGCGGCCGAAAACATCCGAGTACCCAGTATAGGATGTCTGATTATTTTTAGTATTCCAGGAACCTCTGTGGTCCTGAAACTTTTGAACAATGCGAAGGAATTCTGGGAACGGAACGCTGGACCGTTAACATTTTTAAAATCTGGAGGTTACTGAGAAGCAGATTTCGCAACGCGGTAGCCGAATTGAACGATTTCTTAGTTTGATGGTCAATCGCTGCCCTGAAGGGGCAATTGCACGAGGGAGTTACCACAAGGTACTTTTTCAAATGTAGTCTCAAAACATTATTGTCCTCGTAAATGTAATTTTCCAGTTTTTTCCCGCATCAAATGCTGTACTCGACCGCGAAAGGGTGAAGGGATAGGCTAACATTTTTTGCTCTCTCCCTCCCTCCCCCAATTCGTTCAACACCACATGTAGTGCACCATAAAATTATTTTTAAAATCTTTTCACGATATCTTCTAGACACTGTGTTCATCAATTCGAAGACCATGCTGTCATTTGCTGTGCTCATTCACCTCATAGCTGAGCTTCTCGAGTGGTAGTGGGCAAACAAATTATGCTATAGGAAAGTTTTATGATCTAGTCTTTGCTATATTCAAAACATGTTGGAAATGAATGCTGTGACAGGACACTCGAAAAAAGTGCAAGATTCGGCGTTTTACTGGGATGCGTCGAATCCTATCCCACTTTGTGGAATTCAATCACTGATTTCTTCAGGAAATTTGATTCTTAGCTGTGCAGAAATTCGCAGCATTTTATATTTTATATGCTGAGATGTTATTGCGGAGAAAACGAGTCATGTAGGGACAAGTTTGCAAACCACTTGGCAACATCATTGCTGTGAAAATCCAATGTTGGCTTTGAGGATATTGGATCAAGTTAACCGCAAAACGTGTTGTTGACTTCACTGGATCTTGACTAATTGATTGTTTTAATTCCTCTTGATTGAGCCAAAACAATGTTGATGTAGAAAATGTCCCGAAGAAAGATGCTAAAGCGTAACTTAATTCATCCCTTTTCTGAAAGTTGAATTCATGGTGTTCTCTTCCCCTTCCGTGAGTGAACCCTTTTCACATGCCATCCACACATTTGACTGAATATGCTTTAGATTCGAATTATAAAATGGAATACTGACCGACTGATTTGGGAATCGGACTACGTATTTTTTCCTACCTGTTCACCTTGAGAAAAAAGTAGTTTCAAATGCAATGCAATACAACTGCTTGATAGGAAAAACTTATGCCCTGGACGGGTTTTCTACTTCTGACGGGTCAGTTTCTAGATCTTAATCTTTTCCTGTATGTGAATGAGGGATCTTGGACATTGATTTTGTTTTCCCATGGTGTTGCAGCTGAAAAGCAACCCTTGCAAGCAACTGGGTTCCAAGATTCTCGCATCGAACTCAAGCATTGCCAAAAATAGTTGTTGATGCACCTCATGTATCTTGCATATTGAACTTTACCACGTAGGCATTCCCTGTTGAGGATATCCTGGCCTTATCACATGTTAGGAGACGGTTAGATTAATCCGTGCCAGATGCTGTGGATGGCAAATGTGGACTAGCTTGCTGGTGGGATGAAAACGGAAAATGACCAATGAACAATTTCCTATAAAAGTGTGAACGACATGCTGGGAGAAATTATGGGCAAATTTCAGAAGAAATGATAGGCCATTAAGTTTGTGTCACACTTCTGGCCAATTTTTTTTCTGGTGGTGCATAAAGTCGTCGTTAATTTTCCCTGCTGTTGTTTTTTTGTACCGCTTCCTTATGGGATTTCAAGTTTTTACTGCTGTAAGAGTACAGTACTGTACTGTGAATTGGGGTTTCCCTCGTCCAATTACTTGATGCGTAAATCGAGGTACTTTGATTGTAAATCTCCCTTTCATTACTTCTTTGAAAAAACCTTTCCTCGTTATTGCACTTGAAAAAAAAACCATTTGATCGAGCGTGTTTCTGAATTGTTTACCACTTTTAAAACATCAATTGAAAAGTAATGCTTAACCAGCAGTGGGGAAAGTACACTTCCATCTTGCCGTCAAAACTTCTTTAGTGTCCAGAACTGGGGCTGATCTGTGCATATAATTACGTTAGAATGAGGCTTTAATGAATGTGTGAAAACATGATGGGAAGGTAGTCGAAGAAGGAAGATCATAAGCTTTTGCCAAATTCACCGAAGTTTAAATTTAGTCAAAAGTGAGTGATGCCCAAACTTTTCATGTTTTCCTAGCTCCCTATTTTTTATCATGCCACACGTTTGTACTCGTTTTTTCTCGAAAATTTTGGAAATTAGGTCTGAATCGAGTTGAATTCATCTGTGGTGTCGAGGGAGTACGGCATCAGGAAGTGCAATCTCGAAGAATGTTGGAAATCCCCTCTGGGTATTGATTTGAGTTGTGTAGAAGTCGTGTTTGGGCTGTCGAGAGCATCGCCTAAAATGCGCGACGAAAGCGTATTTGGATTGTCGCGGGGTACTTTGATTATTGCCATGAAATGCTCGAAGGAATTGTTTCATCCTGTACTGTACAGTGATTCCGGGCTTATATTTTTCTATTGTTGCAATTCGGGGTTGATCAGATCCAAGTAGTAAGCATACCTTTTAGTGTACAAATCTTTATTTGCGTCTGTGCCATCCTTGTAAGGATAACCTTTTAAGCTGTTGGATCACTCCAGTTCCGTCTGTTCATGCGATCGTTCGCGTGTCTTCTTTGGAATGTAAAGTAAATCGGGATAAGCGAACTGCAATGCTGTGCTGTATTGTGAGAATCCCTCTCTGATTTTTCTCGCGCTCTCAACGTGGCGATTCCAAAATCGGGAAATTGTCGTCCAGTATGCGTGCGTGATGCTGATCAAGGCGCCGAATCACTTGTTGTTGCCTCGTGGTAATGTTAGCGTCCATCCTTGTGACGCAGACGATAATACAGCAGTACAGTACTGTGATGATGGCTTCGATCGATGGATGGATGGATGGGGGGCTTTTCTTGCCTTCACTCATTCGGGGAGAAAAGGGAGCTTGGGACGTAGATGGCGGCTCGATCGATGATGTATGCATGCATGGATGCTTGCTTGTTGCTCCTTCGGTCGCCTCTCCTCGGACAGAACAGGATGGGACGGGACGGGCTGGCCCCAGCCCGGTCCGCCTGCCTGTTGCCCTTCTTGGGGCAGCGACCGTGATCCCGAGCCTCGGATGCGCGCGGCCTTGGGCGGCAATCCCGCTCCAAGGAAAACCTGCAGGCCGAGCCGAGCCGACGGGGTCTCTGCGAAGAGGGGGTTGGGAGGGGATGCCAACGCAACGCCTGCCGTGCCGGGTCCCGTTACGGACCTGGGTGACGCGGGTCCTGCGCGGCATAATCCACGCTAATCCCCCTGCCGTGTGTCTCGGCGTCGACGGGCTCCGAACCGTGACTGACGATCCTCTGCCGCCAACTCGTTTGTTTTCCTTCCTGTCTTCCTTTGCGGAAGTTGCGTCCCCCGCCCCGTCTCCCGTTGCAACATTTGCCCGACCCAGCCCATCCGCAGGAGCAAGCGGCAGGGAGCCGAGAGTGATCATGGAGCACCAATGGTGCGGGTTTCTCTCTCACTCCATCTGGGGCCTGTATGAGAGCCCCGTGAAAATGCTTCTAATGTCAAGTACGGTCAAGTAGAGAGGGCTGTACTGTACTTATTCAATTCAAGATGCTCTTTTTTTCGAAACTGGCTCTCGCGACAACATCATCATCATCACCACCATGGCTTGTCTGAGATGCGCGTCCAAATTGATGTGTATTTTACATTGTACAGTATGTGGTGGTCCGTGAGTAGGACTGTACTGCAGGAATGATCAATTACTGTGCTGTACTTCTAAATACTGTAGCAGCCGAGTAACTTCCCACCACACCCACCTCGGATAAGTTCTTCAGCGTATAACGCGAACTTTCGTTTTCAAAGCGACAGGATTATTATTTTTTATTGCTCAAAGGGTACACTTTCTGAGGCATTTTTACTGGTCTTCGTCGCACTTTTCTGTATTTGCTGTATCGCACAGTCGTATGTGAGACTACCTTGATTTTAGCGAAGGAAAACTTTCCCCTTGAACCATTGTGATTTGCATTATAATATGATAATATGATGCGCACCTTCAATTTTTTTGCCAAGAAGTTTGAGAAAATTGCGCGCGGTTCCCCAGGAGATGGCGGGGGAAAATTTATTAATTTACGGAATTGGCGGGCTTTCTGACCTGGGTTAATGTTGGGCAAGTTAAGTTTAATCATAAATTAGTCGAAAATTTAGTTTCCTATTGGTTACGGGCTTATAAAATTCAAGTGCAACTTAGAATCAACGAGTTCCTTGAATTGTCGTAAATGACCGCTTTACTTTTTGCTTGGGTGCTTCTCTCCGGGGATGCAATGTTTTCGTCGGGGGCCTTTTCCTGGTAGCTAAATCCAGCACCTACCACTTTGACCGGCCCAACGAAGGCGGCTGGGTTTCATGTGCCGGAAACCCCCTCGGCCTCCCCCCCCCCCTTTTTTTTGTTTTNCCCCCCCCCCCCCCCCCCCCCCCCTTTTTTTTTTTTGCAGAGCACATTCTCTGAATGTAGACGTGTTCGGCGACAGGGAATATTTGGTTGTTCTGTGAGGTTCGAGACACTTCTTTGGGCTGGGTTCCGTGAATAGAAGGTCGATTCTTCGAACGGGTGCGCCTTTCCGAGGAACTTTTCCTCATTGGCCAAGTGTGATCGGTCCGATATCCATTTTCAAAAGAAAACGGTCCATGCTTGCACAAATGATGGACGTCTGGAGGAACAAAAGGCGAATTCTGCGGAGATTTCTATTCAGGTTTATGGCGTCCGATGTGCAAACAAAAAGCGAGCCCTGTTTGTCCAGCGCAGAAAATCCACGAAGACCTGGATCCTGGAAACGCTTTGTTGACTAATCGTTGAGCAGTCCGGTCTTGTAACAATTTTCACGAGTTTATTTTGTCGTGACTTGCTCGTTCGGTTATTTCCACAAATCTTGGTGAACTTGCAGGGAAATAATTGAAGCGCTCATATTCACCTATTGAGCATAACGGGTTCACTGATTCCAAGACGAGGACGCGTGAATGTATTTAAAAAAAAGAAACTACCGTATTTCGTCTTTTAATCCTTTGAATGAGGGAAAGCTCGTGAATGGTTGGAGGTAACGCCCTGAAAAACAAGTACAATATTTGAGATCAAGTGGAGACATTTTCTCTACTCATGCTCTCTTTGGAGCTGAACCCCATTGGCGTAATATCCGCGGCCATAAAAGTGAACTAGACAGTACATGACAAGAAAAACCGCTACAGACTTTCTGCAAGTTGCAAGGCTCCGATACATTACTCCTTGGGATAATTTGAAATGTTTAGAAAGTACCGTGGGCTCTTCTCGAAAAACCGAAGATGCTGATGCTGCAAGAGGATTGAAAGGCTCCGTATCGCGATGGCTAAGCGTGGAATTTATCAGCTGGCAATCAAGTGGGAGATTTTTAACCTTTCGCATCGGATAAATCATGTCGCGACTTCGATCGGCCTTGATTGAACTTTGAG